GGGACTGCAGGACATGCTTGATGGCTGTGATCTTTAGGACCTCACTCCATCACAAAGGAGAGAATTTGGTGTCCCTTTGTCTCATCCCAGCCATCAGCCTTGGCAACCCTGTGTGACAGCTGGATGTGGAGCCCAGTGGTGAGCAGAGGGAGGAAGGTGCAGGGCTGGAATAATCACTGCTGCAGACGATGCTCGTTGGACTTTCTGCCCTGGGATGAGGGTGGGAGAGGCCTCTGAGAACCTTCTCTGTCTTTCTTTTTGGCCTTCTTAGAGATGAGCCTTTGCAATAAGGGGAAGGGAAAAGATGTTTTGTTTTGTTTTGTTTTGTTTTTGCCTTTCTGCAGCCCAGAGAGAAGGCACACGCTTTGGAGTAAGAGGTTTAACCAGAAGCAGTTTCTTTTCTGAACAGGGGCAGTTCTTTATTTCCTGCCAGTCCCTGCAGGCACACAGCATGGCAGGCTGGGCTGCCACCTTCCCCCTACCTGTCATATGCTTGGCAAATCTAACTTCAGTCCTTTTTTCCACTGCCTTCCCCACCCCATCAAATTGCAGTTGCAACCTCTCATTTTTCTGCTGCCGAGATGATTAAAAAGCATGACTTAGTGGAAAAATGTTGACCTCCTTGGGGTCAGCTTCTTAAGCAGCTGTAGGAGATAAGATTGGCTGGCAAAATACTCAGCAATGCTTTGCAAGGCTTTCTTGTCTGTCTGTGAGGAAACCAGAATCTGTTTGGTTCCGGGTGCTTTTAGTTTGTTTTTGGAGACAGCTTCAATTTCCAGAGGCACACATTGCTGTACTCCCAAAATAAAATAGAGTCTCTGATAGAAGAGTTAGATTATTATAGTGATTTTTAAAGACACGGTTAAAAGGCTTTGTAAAATAAATTTTATTTTTTTCACAGCACCTGCTTTGGCAATTCAGGGAGCCCAATTCTCTGGTAGCTAAGCAGTAGCAGAAGTTCAGTGCTCAGACTTCCCCCAAGGACTTAAAAAACTTCATTGTGCCGCTCTTGGTATGAATGGCGTTGTTTGGAATTATTTTAATGATTGTGTTAATATTTTTGCCTTTTTCTTAGAGATTGGGTACTTACTATAGACCTGTTGAAACTGCTCCAAACAGGACATCACAATCTGAATTCAGCCTGTGCTCTCAAAGCATGTTATTATCTTTCTATTTGCCAACAGCTTGTACCCATCTAGTGAGATGAAAAGGTCATATCACTTCCCAAAAGGAGAAACTGAGGCATTTGGGGTTAAAAGGACTTGACTAGGGCTATATAGTTGATGTCAAGGACATAGTGACATCTGGGCTCTGTGGCTGCACTTTGTCATCAAATGAACCTGTCACTTGAAGTCCTACAGGTCTGGATTTAGGTACCAGTTCAGCCACTTCTGGGGATGTGGCCTTAAGCAGGTCACATGCCTTCTCTGTGCTTCAGTTTTCCCATCTATACAATAGAAGTTACAGCAAACCCCACTTATCCACGGGGAATATGTTCCAGTTCCCACAGTGGATGTCTAAACGGAGTTTAGCACCAAAGCTATATACGCTGTTTTTTCTTATGTATATATGATAACATTTAATTTATAAATTAGGTACAGTAAGATATTGACAATAACTAATAATAAAATAGAACAATCACAACAATATGCTGTAATTTATGTGTGATTTCTCTCCAATGTCTTACTGTATTATACTTAGCTATTTTCGGACCACAGTTGAGTGTAGGTAATTGAAATCACGGATAAGGGGGGACTGCTGTATACCACTATATACTTCACAGTGAAATCATGGATAAGGGGGACTGTTGTATACGACAACACACTTCACAGTGAAATCATGGATAAGGGGGACTGTTGCATACCACTATACACTTCACAGTAAAATCACGGATAAGGGGGACTGCTGTATACCACTACACACTTCACAGTGAAATCATGGATAAGGGGGGCTGCTGTATACCACTACACACTTCACAGTGAAATTATGGATAAAGGG